GAGGCTGTAGAGGGACAGGCAATCTCTCGGCCTCTCACCCAAGGCTTTTGGCACCCTAAGATATCCTCAAGTCGAAAAATTGTATTAAAGTCTCGGCTAACGAATGCGGCAGAAACAGGCCGACAGGTCTTGCTGGCTGTAGTCGTAGAGGACCAGAGGATGTGCCTGTGGAGGTGCTTAAAGAAGTCACAAAATAGTGTTTCCCACTTTGCACTCGTAAACAACAAAATTCAACAGGAGAGTAAATAATTAACGTTATGAAATATGTGTCACAATTATGAACGGTAGGATTTTTATATAAATAAAATGTAATAGCTGAATCTTATAAAAGAACATTCTGGATTTTTCAGTAAATGCAGTGGCGTCGAAGAGTTGCCCCTCAGGGTCAGTGACCGAGGTCTAGGTCGTTTGTAAGACTCGTTATGGATCTAATCAGTTTTAAAACGATTCGCTTTCGACAGACCAAACTAATTTGTTTCGTTTTGCTGTTATTTAAAACCTGTAATTATTCGTATAATTTACTGTGCAGTTTATTTTAGTGAGAAAGAATGGGAAGTCAATCGTTTGATAATATTGGAGCGACGACTTACTTGATTGAAAGTAAACGGACAAGAACTAAACGGGAGTTCTGAGCTCTGTTCAGCTACGCCCAGCTGTTTCCAGCTGTGGAGGAGTTACTACAAGCTGTTCTTCATGATGAAAATAATTACGATATAAGAGCTGCAGGTTCGAGCGTTCTTTCTACTCATTACACGTGCCCTGACATTGACGACGTAAACTTATTAAAATATTAGAACAGTTGTTGGATCTCACCGATACGTTACACGTCATTACGTGTCCTCCTGATCCATTAACGGTGCTTTTAGGTACCACAAGCACCGATCACCGTCCTCGCTGAACCTGTCGCTTGCGACAAAGAGCTCGACGAGTAAATTAACCCATAGACAAAGCCCACTGCCCAGTCAGCTCGCTGAGTTTCTCGTCGGATCTTCTCAGTGGGTCGCGTTTCCGATCAGGTGGTAGATTCTGCGAAGCAATGCTCTTGCTAGGGCCAGTGTTAGCAACATTTCGGTATGAGCCCCGTGAGCACACACGTTAGGATGAAGCTGAAATAGCCTTTGAAGGCTATCAGCATAGGTAGGGAAAAAAAACGATACGTGCTGACACGACAAGCTCCGTCCAATCGCGAAACAATTATGTATTCAACTTTACACTGCTTTTAATTATAATGTAATACGCTTATCTTCTTTTCGAATTCAATTTTTATGTTCCCAGAAATAGCATAGAATTAAGTTGTATGTTTTCTTATCGAGTGAATTAAAAGCATCGACAGGTTATCGACCCTGACACAGCGGAGTAACGAATACCAGGCTATATAAAACATTAGCACGCCTTAAGCAGTAAGTAGACGATAATTAGTGAATGTAATTAGTTGTCTCATTGAAAAGAATTGTTTTCGGAAGTCTACTTTAAAAATTGTAATGTTTTGGGAAAATAATGACCTTGAATGAAGAGAATAAATTAATGATTTTAATAATGAAGTTCATTACTGCACCGAACCAGCGCGGCGGCTCGCGACACAACACCGTACCACCTAAATACCACTTAAATATGAAGTCATCGTAATGTCTCAACTATGTATCTATTGTCTATTGCGCCCTTTAGTAAAGCCTCGCTAAGTAGAATAAGGCCAGGTAGTGATGTATGTTACAATCAAGAAATTCCTTTTTATTCTAAAGTTTTTTCGTCTATACTAATATTATAGGTATAAAGCTGAAGATTTTGTTTGTTTGAACGCGCTAATCTCAGGAACTACTGGTCCGATCTGAAAAAATCTTTCAGTACTAGATAGCTCATTTATTGAGGAAGCTATATAATATCACGGTAAGGCCAATACAAGCGGAGCACCAATAAATAATGTTTCAAAATAGGGTTTTAAATAGCTCCTTAACATTCTATAATTCAAAAATATTTTCACTTTCTACGTAAATGAAGTAGGGGTAAAATTTAGCGTTATGCTAAAGTAACTATTCCACGCGGACGGAGTCGCGGGCAAAAGCTATTTTATTATAAAATTCTTTCGTTATTGAACTAAGTTAACCAGAGTAAGAGTAACCACCCACAATCGCTTGGGCAGTAAGAAGGCTTGCCTACAACCTGATTGTTACAGATTCAACCTATGCGGTGGTAGGCTCGGTGGCCGCGCTGCCTGTTATTTGGTTCAGCGAGCACGTGTTGGGCTAGCTCGGTGGCCTTCTGAGTTCGATTGTTTTTGCGACCAAATAAAAACTGTAGTTTTCACGATAAGCTCATTAGCCTAATTTCCGTCCGATGTAGCATTTTACAGTTCAGCTGAGGTCCCCTGCCCTTCGCCATTACTGTTTTCGCGGCAAACGTTCACCTCAGCTGTCTAACGCCAAGGGATTCTAGGAGTCTTGCCCACGAGAGAGATGAGAAGACTGAGTCCGGACCCACCCCCCGACATCGTAGCGATGGACACATCGACCCTCTTCACCGAGTTCCTTTCCGAAAGATACTCCGTGACGTCGTCGGAATTTCTGAATGCAAATACGTTGCAACTTCGTCCGCGTCGTGTCCCACGTGCCATCAACCGACATGCTCCCTACCGCGGCCTTCGTCACGCCCACCGCCCCCGCGATTCTCGGAACGTCCGCGTCTGCACCCGCTCGCAGACTGTCTGAGTCGTCGTCCACGTCGTCCTGCGCGTCCTCCAATACAGACTCCAATGCGGACACGTACCCCGCGTGCACCCCAGGTGCGGAAACCTCATGCATGTATAAGGTTCGACACTAAGCCTTTTTTTATTGCTTAGGTGGTTGGATAAGCTCACAGCCAACCTGGTGGGTGGTTACTGGAGCCCATAGACATCTACAACGTAAATGCGCCACCCACCTTGAGATATAAGTTCTAAGATCTCAGTATAGTTACAACGGCTGCTCCACCCTTCAAACCGAAACGCATTACGGCTTCACGGCAGAAATAGGCAGGGCGGTGGTACCTACCCGCGCGGACTCACAAGAGGTCCTACTATCNAGCTCACAGCCAACCTGGTGGGTGGTTACTGGAGCCCATAGACATCTACAACGTAAATGCGCCACCCACCTTGAGATATAAGTTCTAAGATCTCAGTATAGTTACAACGGCTGCTCCACCCTTCAAACCGAAACGCATTACGGCTTCACGGCAGAAATAGGCAGGGCGGTGGTACCTACCCGCGCGGACTCACAAGAGGTCCTACTATCAGTAAAAGCCTGAAAAACTTGTCCTAAATTTATCTTATCGCATCCTCCCGGACCGGTCTCGTTGCTTTTGAGCTTTCTAAGCATCGGTGACCGTCCTCATTGAACTCTTCGATCACGACGAAGAGTTTTACTAACTAACCCATAGACACAGCCCACTTTTCTGGCCGGATTTTCTCATTGGGTCGCGATTTTGTTCCGGCGCTGGATTCAGCGAAACACTGCTCTTATTACGGCTAGTGTTAACAAATTCCTACAAATTGAACCCTTGAGCTCACCTACCCGTCCGCACAAAGCTGGAATAAAAAAGTTGGCAACGCTTCCCGCGGCGTGGCGGGTCGGTCCCAGCGCCACGTTGTTTCGTTACAGGCCGGCTGCAAAAACTAGACTCGACGCCGTTTAGTTTGCTTTTTATTTGGATTCAACCACTCTGTTACTGCTCGTATTAAAATTTTCTGGTATTTTTAGACAAGCTCAAGAATCTTGTTAAGAATTTACTGGAGTAAATTGCCGTAGGGTGCCGTAGTGAACAGACGCCAGATAGGCTACTGGTGGCGATGGTTCTCGCAAACACCAAATTCCTTAGTGAAGGATTTAATGAAAATTAAATATATTATGTATTTCACGACTAAAAACTAACTCCCGTGCACGTGCATAACTCTTCTACAAGGTTGTCGAAAGGAGATCGTTGAGACTGATAAGAACACCTATTGTTATATTTATAAACTTCTAATTTAACTGTATAGCTTTTGTGTTACAATCAATCGCTCAAGAATATTTTTCTGATTTTATATTAACCAACAACAAAAAATTCTTTAAACTAAATTGTAAGTTTGAAAGATATCCTGCCCTAGTCGTCATCCGAATGCAATTGTGGGTCCATCCTCGGGTCGTTTTGTCGTGTCAATCACCGTTTTATACAATAAGCTCAAAGTAGACAAATAGGATGGGCTGAGAACGAACAAGAAGTGCCAACTATTACAATAAACAAGTCTACATTTGGCAGCGGCTATTTAAGCCAGACACTAGAACCTGCGCGGAACCTTACGTCAACGTTAAACTCGATCAATCTATGTTTTATTCACGAACGAATACCAAACAATTTGCATTTGGCAACAGCTTCCATGGACATGTCGCAAGTTGATTGGAAACCGACTGCCAAGGAAACGCTTTTTATATGTTCCGCTTTGTATTGCTATTGTCGATATTTCGAATTTAATGACCTGCGGGTCTGCCGTGTCTAACTAAAATTATAAGCGAGAAAGTTACTCCGACAAACACACCGCAACAAATTTTGTTGAAGCTTGCTGTTCACTGGTGTAAAGTTACAAACAAAATATCTGCCCGACAGTTGGTAAGCGATCACTACGAGATCAAGGTTATCGCGAAAGTTGCGGTCAATGCGGATGGGCTTGTGACTTTATGTATAATTGTAAGATTTCAAACTTAGCAACAGTCTAGACGAATTCCCTGCCTACTGCTTAAGTGTGTACCGGGGTGGATCTCACGTGCGTGATAATTCTGTGATATCATTTTAACCTAATGGGTAAGACCATTGTATTGGGTGACCCGTGAATTCATGAATATTAAATACATGTAATTGTGCATTGTGATAAAAAAAATAAAAAAGCTGACGTTTATCTAAATTGACTGTAAGCCCCAAGTGAGCATGCAACATACATTACGGATATTGTGATGACGAGCTCGGAACCAGGCGTCCTTATGGGCCGATATAAAATAGTGAATGCAGCGGCGCGCGGCTCAATACTCCTACTTGTCCACCGCGACGTCGACATGAACTGCTCCAAACAGGTCAGATATTATAACCACGTTCTATATTTATTATTATTTATATAGTGTTCGATAATCTATACTAATATATAAATCTACAGTTGTTTTTACGGATGTTCCTTTATAACTACTGAACCATACATCCGATTGACTTGAAACTTGGTATCCATGTAGAAAATATAAGTCGTTAATGGATAGGCTAATATTTATATGAATGTCAGACTTCCTAATAATAATGATAATAAATAATAATGCTAATTTTAAATGCCCAGCGAATCGGGCGAGTACGGCTAATACTATATATTATGTTATAACCTTTGTATCACGTGTTAGGTTAAATTGGATACGGACTGTTATCTAAATAGTCTAAACGCGCACACGACATAGCAGCAGCTAGTTCCCCGACTCTCGTACTACTCGTACTGTCGCTGGAGTGCTCACGTCTATTACTCACAGTCTTACATAATCCGGACACCGTCCTCGTCGAACCCGTCGCTTGCGACGAAGGGCTCGACGAGCGAATTAACCCATAGACACAGCCCACTGAGCTTCTCGCCGGATCTTCTCAGTGGGTCGCGTTTCCGATCCGGTGGTAGATTCTACGAAGCACTGCTCTTGCTAGGGTCAATGTTAGCAACACTNAGTGCTCACGTCTATTACTCACAGTCTTACATAATCCGGACACCGTCCTCGTCGAACCCGTCGCTTGCGACGAAGGGCTCGACGAGCGAATTAACCCATAGACACAGCCCACTGAGCTTCTCGCCGGATCTTCTCAGTGGGTCGCGTTTCCGATCCGGTGGTAGATTCTACGAAGCACTGCTCTTGCTAGGGTCAATGTTAGCAACACTTCGGTTTGAGCCACGTGAGCTCACCTGCACACGTTAGGTTGAAACTGGAATAGCCTCTCAAGGCTATCAGCATAGGTAAAAGAAAAAAAAAGCTACATAATTTCTTTAATCTTTTTCTATTCTTAATGTATGGTATGGTGGCAAAATATGTGTAAATCCCTTCACTTCGAAACTACGAAACTGTTTCTTCTGCAACTCAATCATTCTAGAATCAAGGTGTTGGTTCATCGTTAGTTCGTCTTAGTTCTTGAACTATTAACTGCACTTTGGTAAATTATTCAACTTTGCTGATCATTTAATTTTAACTTTAGGGTTTAACTTTAGAGAACAGTTCACTAGTATTAAATGATTGCCTCCTTCTAGAATTCTTATTTAGTTCTCTGCTTCTTCACGTCTGACCCAAACCTACTAAGGAGGGTTCTATGAACATTTTTCTCGGCGAAGTGTGACGTTTTTGGGATAAGTGAATACATATTTTAGACAACTATAAAAAAACAACTTTTTCAAATTTCACTCTAAAACTCATTCAGCTCATTTTAAATAATCTATCTCTATATATAAAAATGAATTGCTGTTCGTTAGTCTCGCTAAAACTCGAGAACGGCTGGACCGATTTGGCTAATTTTGTTCTTGAATTATTTGTGGAAGTCCAGAGTAGGTTTAAAAGGTAGATAAATATGAAAATGCTCGGAATTAAATAAAAATAACAATTTTGTCTTTCTTTTGATTGTTTGTTTGTTTTAAGTCTATTTTATACAATAGTTTAGGTCTTTTATTTATCGATTGAGGCACTACGAAGTCTGCCGGGTCAGCTAGTATTAGATATAAAATTGCTTACGTGAATTTTGTTACCATTTTCAACGTGACAATACAAAGGGAAAAGGATGCATTTTGTGAAACTATTTAAAAATAATCTTTTATTTATTTCCATTCCAAATTTAAAACGGCTACCTGAGAAAAATTCTAAATTACAATAGTTAATATGTAGTCATTTTGTAAAACGTATAAAAATCGCTAACTTGACGACACGTGTTTATCTATACTAAAACTCAGCACGGCGAATATTAAAACCAGCCGTAGCTGTTGTGAGGAGCGTGAAATCTATTTCCTGTATCGTATTCAAATGTATTTAAAATGTATTGGCGCAACCTTCAGAGCACTTCCTCTGTTAGATTAATTAGCGTCTAAACTCAAAAGTTGACCTCCGCGCGGTCAGCCTCGTGTGCTGTGGACAAGATCAAGTGCACCACGCTTGGTAGACACTAGACACTCGATACAAGACACTCGATACTAGACAGTCGATAGGTCGTCGTAGGTCGGGATGTTGTACAAGGTCACATCACTATATACATATGTATGTATTGACAGGTAGGTCATTACTTAGCCATGGAGTTACACTATAAACTTTATTATTTATTACTTTTTAATTTTATTACTTTCGTTTTCGTAGATAGTCCTACCGGGAATCCACCGGGGACACCGAGGACACGAGCTCGAAATGTGAACTTTACTGGAATCATTAATGGTTTAAATAAAATAAATTTGCACAATACTTTGTTAGAAATATAAAAATGTTATTTTATTGCATAGATTAACGAATAAGAGTTATCCGGTGTTAAGTTATTTTAGGGTTCATTTAAATGACAATGTCAATGCCACCACCAATTTAGAGACATTAAGTCGAAGTCCAATTTTTATATATCGTTGTAAAGTACCCGCCCTGGATTACGGAACGCATGACTGCTTCCCGACAGAAGTAGTAGTAGTAGCAGTAGTAGATGACGTCATGTGTGTGTAAGAGGTTACGTCACACAGATGAACCGCAGCCCCAATCGAATAAAAGTAAAATGGGAAAGAATAACTTCGATCGTAAAATGTACATTTATACCGAACATGATTTTTCCCATAAACCTTTTAAAAACTATCTTGAACACGCTTTTAAAACTAAAACAGTTTTAAATGTAATATATATTTTTTAAAGTAATTGTTATTATATGGATTGCCAACGAATGGACACAATGTCAAATTTTAGTATCCTGACGGACAACATACCACATACTGGATGTAGCCCGCGATAAAACCAATGTAGTTTTACAATTCAAAGATAATGTAAAAGCTAAAAACAGAAACAGTAACTCACATTGTGTTTGTGGTCTAGAACATATTATTATCTAGACAATTAGGTTGTATGATAATAATATGATTATTCACAATAATAATGAAATGACTACAATTGTTACGCGAATTTTTAAAGGATAAAAGAGTCAAGAATCAGCATCAGATCAGCGGTGAGCATCGCTCGCGACAACGCTTACTGATCATTCCCTATAACTGCCGTAGATTGAACTAGGCCATCCAGACGTATTTTTGTATTTATTTATTTATTCTGACATTTTTTGCTCATATTTTTAATTACAGCCTATTCGGAGTTGTTCTTACCTAGGCCATCATGATATATTCGCTACAAGGAAATATATCCAAGGAGAAGCGAACCAGTTTTTACTAATCATATTGCAGGTTGATTTATTTTATACTTTGGTTCGTTTCTATGGCACGGACATTTTTTATTTATTGCTTAGAGAATTGGACGAGCTCACAGCCCACCTGGTGTTAAGTGGTTACTGGAGCCCATAGACATCAACAAAGTAAATGCCGCCACCCACCATGAAATATGAGCTCTAAGGTCTCAGTATAGCTACAACAGCTACACCACCCTTCAAGCCGAAACGCATTACCGCTCACGGCAGAAATAGGCAGGGTGGTAGTACCTACCCGTGCGGACTCACACACTCCTACCACCAGTAAATATGATACACACACTACGTTTTTATTACTCATTGAGGCTATACTAAGGAAGGAAGTCTGTGAGGCGGGCGGTGAGGCTAGCCGGTGTTACTGGGGCCCTTCTCGACACTATAAGCCGATGTCTGGAACTGGACAGGCTGGTCGTCTGGATAGGTTATCAACAGTGCACTAGTGCGTTAAGCGAAACAAACTGCGGCCTATTTGTTGGATAAGACTCTAAGCTCTTATTTGTAAAATTGCATGTCGCACTCGGGAAGTACGTAGTTCTATATATATTACATCACTGCTAGTTAGTTAATCGCGAGACAGAAGATGTAAGACTTCGTTTTAACTCTCATGACATATCCACAAGTCGATTTTTCACATTAAAAGTGTACAATTTTCTAAAATATTCGAAATTGAGTTAATATGCGGAATCATTTGGTATCATCACTAGTATTTTTCTCATATATATTGTCAAAAGAGCGTAGATTAGTTTTAGTTTTTTTTAGTTTACCTATGATTTGACTACTATTAACAAAATTAATTCATAATTTTATCTCACTTTAATAGACAGATAATGTAACTGGTAAAAAATAAAAAATAAATGTTGCAAAGATGATTAATATTAAAAATATCACATTTTAAACCTTTAAAACACTCTCCTGTAAAATTACTAAGTTTTGAGATTATACAGTTTTAATGTGAGAAGACGAAGTGTTGGACAAGAGCTTAACCGAAAGATATGTTAACGTATCAACAGTGCACTTGATTATTGTTTTTAAAATATTTTATATCTCATGTGATTGTGATCCTTACATAGTCGAATGAGTTACAGTTGACGAATCTATGGTAGGTACACACACGGTGCACGGAGGTCGTCACGTGAGCGACCGATGCGGTTTGCCTTCGACTGGATGTGAACGGGGCTAATACAAGAAGTATAACAGCAAAAATAATAACCGCTTAGTTATTTTGCAAAACGATTAATGTAATAAATGTGGCGAATAGCCATCATAGAACACAAAATATTTAACAGTGCCTGAATCTCACGATATTTTCAAGATAAGCTTGCATATATTATACGAGTTTCGAACTACAACATTCGGACCGCCGCGTCGGTCTACTGAAAAATATCACCCGCTCGGTGGAAGATCTTTCCTTTGTAGTATACCTACAATAAAATATAAACCATCTCCTTTACTCTGATCTTAACGGGTAGTTCTTCGTAAAGCAGGTCCTGAGTATCGCGACTCAGCTCGCGCAGATTCCTTTCCGCGTTTTCGACCAGCGATACTTACCGGGTACACCCGCTTCACAGCTCGATCCTGCTATACCAGCACTGTATGCCCGAATCACCTATCCCAGAATATTTGGCTCACCAAAAAGCTCCTCCGCATCTTTGTCTTTCCAGACGCGTCAACTACCGTCAGCCGCAATCTTTACTCATATACAAACTTAATTGCATACACTTAATGGTGTATGGGGTATATCGTGAATTGCTTTTTTTTTTCAAATTATCTCTATGGACTCTTGTAGTTTCTCCTCATATTGGAAAGTGCCATCACCTGAACACTGGGCTAACCGGGAGCTGTTCCTTCATCGCCTGTATGGTCCAATAAAAATGCTATCACCCACATTATAATTAATAATTTTATTATAGACGTGCCTCTCGGTTTCAGTCGCGTTCAATTGTTATTCAGAAGGAAAGAAACCGATAGTGTCGGCGATCTCGAGACGAGCGAGTTGTATTTCGATAGTAAATATTTATACAGAAGACAAAAAAATACTATTGTTATGTATATACAATGAACTACCATATATTCTACATATTTTCCTCCAAATATGTTTCAGATCGTTCGCTTGCTGCTCTGCGGCGTGTGCTTCGTGGCGGCGCTGGTCTCCGCGCTGCCTGACAGCGGCTACGTGCCACTTCCAGGACCTGGACTTTCTTATGGTAAGATTCATGAATATTTTAGCTCCAGTCCGCTGAATTTCTCGCTTTTTACCTTAAACCTCGAGTTCGCTCATCTTTTTTAGAGAAGTTATAAAGCCTAACCAAACCACTGCCTCCTAAAAGAAAGTTGAGTTTTCAATACTTTAAGTAATTACGACTTTAGCGTGTAGCTATCTATTTGTTATGTAATCCTTGTACTAAGCACATACATGATATACATGTTCCGCTTCACACTGGATCTTCTTTCCTTCTTAATCGTAATGATGATATATCGTGTATAGATTTAAATCGTTCATCGGTCACCTATACTTATTTCAGGAGGTATCCCGTACGGCAGCATGAGTGGAAACGTGGCGGAATACTTCCGAAACATAAATACGCCATCTAGCGGTCGATCGGCGAACTTGGAATCAAACAACAACTTCGGATACAAACCTATTGAACAATGGCTCCGATAGAGGGCACTAGTCGGCATTGTAATTTAATACCACACATTTTACCTCAATTTTAGAATAAGCCTCATTTAATTTTATTTATACATTTAAAAATAATTTAAGTTTAATAATTGGCTAAGATACAAAACGTGTTTTTTTAACTAAACTTAAATAAATTTTACCTACGTAATCTACCCGGCACAAACTGTCGAGGTCCCGCCTTGCTGAATATAGAGCTCCTAATGATACTAAGCAATTGAAATATTCAAACTAACAACGACTTAGTCACTGTTAGGGCTACTCCAAGTACATTTATTATTCCGCTTAAAATACCTATTGTTAATCCGATGTAAAAAGAAAATGATAACTCGACGATTGACAAAGTATACAAATTCTTACAGACAATATTTCAGTATGGGAGTATACACATAGAAGCGAAGAGATTTATCCCACGACCCAAATTATTCTGAAATAAACAACATTCCTAGTCAGTTCCCGACTCCGCAACGAACATAACTAACGGCATCATGTACTTATAAGAACAACCAACAGACCATCCACGGTATCATTACGTACTTACAACAAATTAATTACACTTTTTATGTGTCCATTACATTCGGTTAACAAAGTTGACAAAAAACAACCTTGTCTCATGATTGTGACTTGCAACTTGCACTTACATTGTGTACCGGGAGCCGGCTCCCACGACTGTATGTGTGTATATGTGGTGTTCGGCAAATCATGAGTTATATCTACACTACGGCTCTATCAAAACATTAGAATTTACATTAAATAATAGAAAAAATAAGAGATGAGTTTAAATGTCTGCTTTTTTTTCTTTTTTTTCCTACCTATGCTGATAGCCTTGAGAGGCTATTTCTGCTTCGCCTTGACGTGTAGATGAGTTCACGAGGCTCAAACCGGATTGTTGCTAATACTGCCCTAGCAAGAGCAGTGTTTTGCAGAAACTACCACCGGATCAGAAACGTGACCCACTACGATCCGGCGAGAAACTCGGTGGGTTGTGTCTATGGGTTAATTTACTCGTGTAGATCTTCGTCGCAAGCGACTGGTTCGGCGAGGACGGTGACCGATGTCTGCTGTCGTAGCTGGATCGATATCAAGTTAGTAGCGAGTGTTCCTGTACTCCCACCGACCGCCGACCTGTGCCCGGGGACTTGTGGGACTGTCGCCCGTTCGCCCTGAGTATCTACTGGTACCTGTATTCGCACCGGGATCCGCAATGTACCGCTCATCACTACATCGTTATATCAATAAATCTTGGAAGCTTGCCCAATGATTCTGGGAAATAGAGCAAATTGGCATCCAAGTACATGTTCCTTGATATAAATGAAATTATGTGGAAACATGAATTTATTCATACGTACCGATGTAGAGATCACAATGTAAAGCATACACAAAAACTTCTCGATTTCACAAAAGAGAACTTGACTAGCAGAATACATCATTAAACAGTAGATACAAGCTTGAAACTATATGAGAAATAAGTTGGTTTCATTGTCCCAAAGAGCAATGGTAGAGACACCGCGAAGCCCGCGACCTCCAGAACCTTGAATCTCGAGTCCGCTTCACGCTGGTCTTATCGACTAGTGTAGAGCAACTTCCTCAAATTTTCGGAGAGAGCACATTCTTTTATTTTTATTTTTTTTATTGCCCTTGTTGGCAGACGAGCATACGGCCCACCTGATGGTGAGTGGTTACCGTTGCCCATGGACTTCAGCAATGCCAGGGGCAGAGCCAAGCCGCTGCCTACCGCTTAATACTCTCCACAAGCCTCGTTTGAAGAAGGACATGTCATAGCGCTCGGGAAACACCGTGGAGGGGAGGTCATTCCATAGCCGGATGGTACGTGGCAAAAAAGATCTCTGGAAACGCATTGTGGATGACCGCAGTGGCTCCAGGTAGTACGGATGAACTCTACTCCGGTGGCGGGCGGTGCGATGGTAAAAACGAGATGCCGGTATCATCTCGAACAATTCCTCAGAGCACTCTGTCAGCCGACGTCTGCTCTCAGGTCGTGGACCAGGCGTCATCATCGACAGAGAGATGACATTCAGTCCCCACATTAGGACAGTACGCGACCGGGCAGCATTTCTACTCGGTCGACTCTACCCCATGAAGTGCAAGTGAAGTAAATAGTCCCTTTGTATCAAGAGACGGTCATGAACCATATAGGTGTACTGAACAGATTGTCACGTGGTTGTCACAGATGGACAGTACTATTATATTTGCAACCGAATACCTTTTTTGTTTCATGTAAGTAGGAGGTCAAACAACTAATCGACTTTTAAGGATTTTTTTACTTTCCCTTATACAACTAAAGTTTGAGCTCTGGGGATTAGTGTGGGCTATCTTTCATCCCACGGCTGAGCACGGCTCTCCGCCCACGCGACAAGTTCAAGCGAGCGAAGCTGCAAGCGAAACTACTTGTGGAAAACAATTGAATATTTAAAAAAATAATAATAATTGAATTCCAGGGCTTTCTCTGATTGCAAATACGGCGAAAAATGTTAAGCTCTCTCTCTCTATTTTATCTTATTTCATTAGAGGGGCAGACGAATTCGCTTTGTTCATTATATGATTTCCGCCTTAAATTGATTTATTCATAGACGCCTAAATTAATGAAATGAACTTAAAATTAATAGCAGTTTGCTCTTATGACTCGTAAACTATATAAGCTTTATGATTATATGCTTAATGATATGATTAAACTATATGATGAAGTCGTCGTGGCCTAAAGGATAAGACGTCCGGTGCATTCGTATTGTAGCGATGCACCGGTGCTCGAATCCCGCAGGCGGGTACCAATTTTTCTAATGAAATACGTACTCGACAAATGTTCACGATTGACTTCCACGGTGAAGGAATAACATCGTGTAATAAAAACCAAACCCGCAAAATTGTAATTTGCGTAATCACTGATGGTACGACCTCTTGTGAGTCCGCACGGGTAGGTACCACCACCCCGCCTATTTCCGCCGTGAAGCAGTAATGCGTTTCGGTTCGAAGGGTGGGGTAGCCGTTGTAACTATACTGAGACCTTAGAACTTATATCTCGAGGTGGGTGGCGCATTTACGTTGTAGATGTAATTGGGCTCCAGTAACCACTTAACACCAGGTGGGCTGTGAGCTCCATCCATTTAAGCAATAAAAAAAATATAAAAAGAAAATGTAAATAAAACTGCAGTTAGTACGCGGGCTCTATTTTACTGAGCACTACACATACTGCGGGCCTGTACATATTTCTAATCTCAAAATTATTCTCATTGAAAATCCAAAACCGTATGAACAATTATAAATTTTGTCTTATTTGAGACACAAAAAAATCATTTTAAATCCAGTCCAAAGTGCCATTAGTATGGAACCCGCACGGAATGCGAAATGCTTAGGAAAATCCGTCAAACATGAATGAAGTTACCTGCGCGGGAATCTGTGCACGTCATCGCCCGACCGCTTTCATTGGGCATTCTAGACGAGTACCTTTGGCGTTTCGTGTGTCATTGTGGTACATTGTGACGATCTAATGGTGTTATAATACAATGGTATTCGCAGAAAGGCTACAGGAGTCTACACACAATCTGGACTCCCGTTACGTAACGACAGCGCCATCATCATTTTAAGTTGTGACCTTGTTTGAGAAACAATAGTTTTCGTTGAATGAAGTCGAAGCAATAGACACCGTATACCTATACAACTATGTACATCTATGATACTATTTCTTACATACATAAACAGTATGGCAATATTTTTTTTTGGAATGAAGGATTACTGGTGGCCCTTAGGCCTTTCCAGTTTCACCGGGACAAGTGGGTGAGCAGGCAGGCTGAGGAGTCAAGGGATTTTGCTAGCAGCTACCCAAGCGTCTCCGGAGGAGACCTAATAACCCAAGGGCAACTACATCGCGAATGAATCTACTACCGGAACAGAATCGCGATCCGTTAAGAAGATCCGGCGAGAAACTCAGCGGACTGACGCATGGGTTAGGTTGCACGTCGGACCGTCTGATGGACATACCTAAGGCACGGACGGTGACTGGCTTCCGTTCCTCTGCACCCCGGGTGCTCGCTCCAACGGCTGAACTGCAAAAGCGGGTTTGGAGGTGTCGGGGGTCGCGTGAGTGAACACCACGATAGAATTAACAAGTGTCGTGTTTTCATGACAATTTATTTTCACCGAAGGTAGACGAGCACATGTAGGTACTCTCTGTTGCTGAGTAGTCATGGAGCTCAGGGATGCCGACGTGTTAGAGGCACAGGAAGTCGCGGACTCTTGTCAGACATGTGTGGGTTGCTGAAAGGCATGTTAGGAGCGTGGAGTTCGTTTCAGCTAAATGTGCACACCGATAATAAATGTCTGCATGATTACTTAAACCGATAAAATTAATTTTTGTATTATGTATGACTCACTTTTTTATGTTTTATTTAAACTCTGCCTGCAAGATTTTTACGTCAGCATAATCGCACGCTACAAGCACCGTCTGCGTGCGAATATCTTCATTTAATTAATTAATCGCGTGATTTCATTACGACTGGCTCTTGTGTGTTGTCCGCACCGCACTGGTGCTTAGTGACAACAGCAAGTGGGACAAGCGTCGTAGTGACGAGTTTGCACAACGAGCGCGGCAGGATGCTCCGCGACGGTCGGACTCCTCCGCTAATGTGCGACCTGTACTAGGGGCGGTGTTGTGTGACAGGACGTAGCACCGATCATTGATAAATGTCGATTTTCATTGAATTTTCTCGTATTCTTAGGAAAAATTTACTACTTATTCATTTTAAATTAGGGGCGACAGCTCTACGTTTGTTATAGCTGAGGCGTGACCATAGATCATGTTAAAGTAGGCGTCAAGGAAGTATGAGTAAAGTTTCCAAAGGAAATTTAATTTATATTATTGACACGTTTAAATAAACGTAATTTCCCACCTATTAGATTAGATACAGGGAGAACATACACAAAAATATGCTGCCCGCCTATTCCGATTCGTCTATAACAGCCTTTCCCAAAGTGAGCGATAACGCCCACTTGTGGGCGCTGCAGGCCTAAAGGGGGGCGGTAAGAGACCCAGAAAAAATATGGGGGCACTGTGTAGAAGCTTGGGAGGCGATTTGTAATTTTATCTAGGAGGACTCTTAGATACCGACTGAGCTCTCGCTATAGTGGTCTCTTCTTCTTCTTCTTCGTCACTTTCTTCATTGCTGAAGGT